TATATATATATATAAAATACTTGTTAATTACTATATGTATAGCAATTAACAATGAAAAGTAGGGTAGGTGGTTTTTGGTACTGCCCACTTTGTGATCCATTATAGTTCACTCATTGCCTCACTGTGCAGCCAGTTTGGCCCCAGCCCTGTCAGAGTTGGAAGTGCACAAAGCCAAAGGCAGATCCTGACTCCTCTGGGCAGCATTGGCTAGCGAGGCTGGCTCCTGGCCCCCACTACAGCATCTCCCCGAGGCCAGCCTTCCCACGTTGCCTTGTTCTGAGCTCGCCTTCGAAATCCTCAATAGGAGTTTAGATCCCTGAAGTCCATGACCACAGGGATCTCTGTTCTCAGCCCAGGCATTAAAAATCATGAGGTTGGCTGATTCTGAGTGCGCCACTCCAGGCTGTGGGCATGGTCCTGGGTTCTGCGTGGAGCAGGGGGTCAGGAGGTTGCTCATGACATCCAGGTGATGCTCATCCAGCTGTAATGGACAAGAGCCTGAGGACAGGTGGAGATCAGAGGGACCATGGCAGATCGTAGACACTCTCATTCGAACATCTAAATGTGGAGCTAATAATGAGGTGAAAATTGACAGGAGAGCCCTTTGCTGATGGATGAGGAGATGCACGAGAGAGAGCTTGACTCTCATGCCAGATCCCTTCCCAAGGGCCCACAGTGGCCGGTTGTAGCATCCATGTCACCTTCCTCTCCCTAAGGAGCTGAGGCATTGATTAGCGTTATTAGGCACTGGGGCATTATTAGCGTGAACCTGCACAGCCAGTTGTTGTGTAGAGGGACCTGAGGGTAAGGACAGGCGTGGGCCTGCTACAAATCTAAAACACTGTTGTTTTTGAGCACAGTATGTTTTTCACAAAACACTTTGTGAATTTTAAACCTTTCTTCAAGGTTGAAGAATTATTCCCTTAGTGTTCGTGTGAGCATAAAGAAGAAAATGTATTTTATTGAATTAGAAATAATTAGACATTGGTTGGCTCATGACATTTCTTTATGTGAGTTTCACAGAATAAAATACATGCTGGAGGCCCATGAGGTGCCATTATCATACATTTTAATTTAAATCTATAACCGGTTACTAGTCATCTTGATGCTGTATTTTTGTTTTCTAAGCTATTTAGTAAGCAGTGGCATTATTTAATTTCTATTCAAACTTAATTCAAGTCACTCATGATTATTCATGCTTCGGTTTTATAATAACATGCCATTATTTTTATTTCAAGCAAAACAATAGTTGATCTCCAGCAGAAAAAAAAAATGTCATTAGGGAGACTGTAATTCAATGTATATAGGGAAGGGAACTTGGTTTTCCGTGATTAGACTGGCCAAATCTAATCTTAATAGATGCATTTCTCAGAGTTGTGGGTGGAATCATATTTGGTCATTTGGTAGGGCCCTTGGTTAATGGTGTACAAATAAACAGATGACATTTATGGGGATTAGTGTGGCACCATGGAGTGCCTGGCTGTCGTGGGTCAGTGTCTTCCACTGGCTGGGGTTCCTTTCTGTCCTGTGCTACCCGGACTCATTTTCTGAGGTCCTGTGTCTCATGTCAGCCAGGAGGCCAGCAGCCCGGGTCCCTGTTGGCTGGAGGCCCCACCCTGGCTGCCCCGCAGTTGCTGGGCGCTACTGAACTGTGGTGGGGACCTTCGGGGTTACCTGCCCCGTGTCTGATCCCGGGGAGCAGAACCCTCCCGCTCTCCCCCTGCCACTTCCTGCCAAAGTCGGGGTGAACAGTGTCACCCTCGGTCCTGCCCTACTCTCATGTGATAATATAAAGCTGTCACTCGTGATGACAGATACTCTATGATAAAAGTGGTAAGATGCAGAGTGTGCGAGCTTGTAGATGTCCCCATACCCTGGAACGTTCTGGGGACTCCTGAAGCTCATCTTCTATTTCCGTTCAGCCCGCAAATATCCTCCTGGATGAGCACGGACACGTGAGGATATCAGATCTTGGTCTCGCCTGTGATTTTTCAAAAAAGAAGCCTCATGCGAGTGTGTAAGTAGCACACCCACCAAGCCCGGGCCTTCCTCCGCTGTGACTCGCGGTTCTGTGGGACACTGGCTTGGCCACTGGTGCCCCCTGTGCCCTCACCAGCCCTGATTTTCACGATGTGATAACATGAGTCAGGGTAGGATCCAGTATTGCAGGTTTGGGGAGCAGAAATAAGAGTGGGTGGGCTTCCTGTCGCTGTGTGGGGGGAGCATGAAGGCCCCCAGCGGAACAGCCCGCTGGGGGATGGGTGGTCAGCTGGAAGGAGGGCCTTGCAAAGGGGTGGACTGCATGCTGCCATGTGACCTGAAGCAAGGCAGTGACCTCCTGAACCCTCGGTCTCTTCTGCCATAGAATAGAGATAGCAGTAAATCCCTTGAAACTGCTGGTCATGAGGCGACATGGAAGAGCCCGTGGGCTGAGGGGGGTGCGGGCAGCTGCGCACGCAGAGCTCTCCAGGCAGGGGCCAAGGCCAGGTCTCCCTTTGCACATCTGCTTTCCTCCTTTTTCCAAAGGATTTGCTGGGTTTTGGTATTTCTGGGGTTTTTTTTTTCCTCACAAGAAATCAGATTTCTTCTGAAATTAAAGAAGCTAATCATCCACTTGCAATTCAAGCTTTTAATACGGGTCACATTGCTAGATCCAGATATTGCACCAGTCCTCCATGTGACCATACAGAGGTGACTCCTGAGGGATCCTTGGCCCTTCAGCAGACACGGAGCAGCTCTTGGCGTGGCCATGCTTGGCCAGTGGACATTGGCCAGCCTGGTTCCTGGTACCCACTGATTTCACGGCAGGCCTTCGAGCCAGCTCTCCCAGGGCTCTGTGGAAATCGTGTGGGACACACAGGGGTTTTCGTTTCTGCCTCTTTGGTGTCAGGTTTTCGGCGTTGTGGGGGGTGGGGGGGTCTGAATGTGTGCAGTTTGCAGTAAAGCAGGTGACTTTTGCTTTGTCTTTTAAACTCTCTCACTTTTAGCACCGAATCCTTTAGAATTACATCTTATTGTCCCTCTTGAGCGAACATTGGTGTCCGTGTGGCATGGCGTGGGGGAAGCTCTGGCCTTCTCAATTCAGGCATCTGGGCAGAAAAGAAACCGCAGACCCTTCTCCTTGTGTCTCCAGGAGAGGGGTGGTTCTGAATCGTCCTACTTTGTGAGGGGCCACATTCAATCAAAAATTGCCCTTTCCAGCCGGATCCAGTGTTAACAGTGACCGGTGTCATTTCTGTAAACATATTCCTCTTCTCCCACAGAATCTGGGGTACAGTGATAAAAGCATTAGCGTTTGCTAGCACTTACAATCACCAGGCCAGAACCTGCGGTTGTATAAGCTTCTCCCAGGGAGTTCATCAGACATTTTTAAGAGAGTCATTTGAATTTTTAATGCCATAGCTATTTGGTATGCTAATTTCTTCAATTTACTGTAGTCATAACTAAATAGAATCCAAGAGTTCATAAGAGTTAATCTTCAAAAGAATTGACTTGCAGACACGAGGTTCTTCATAGCTTCACAGGGCCCTGGTGGCTTTCTGCTGACATCCACATCAGCTGGAAGGGTGGGTTGTTGTGCCCGCCTTGGTTACACAGGCCCGAGCGGCTTCCCTGTTGAACTGCTGAGTGTGAGGCCACCACCTACAAAGCCCAGTGCAGGAGGCACTGCTTCCTGGTCACACACAGGAGCAGCTCGTGGCTCGGGGTAAAGGCCCCAGGGCCACTAGGCCCCAGTCAGCTTCTCCTGCACAACGTGTGAGCCTCCTTTCTCTCTTCCGTAAGCAGAGGACAGTGACAGTAGCCTCCTGTGCCCTTGTGAGGACCAGTTCACTAAGTGACCCTACAAGTGTCTATTCCACACTTGCTGGGTGCCCGCTGCTAGCAATATGGTAGGGACAGACCTGACGCTGCCCTGGAACCTGAAGCCCAAGGAATGTGTGCAGGAAGTGACAAGTGGGAGGAGGGTGGTGAACCCAGGGCGTTCCTGGCCCCACCAGCCCGGCCTTGAATGCAGGATCATCATGGAAACCCCACGAACTGGGCTTTGTTATCTGCTCTTCACCTGTGCTTGTCAAGGACCAGGGGACGTGGGTGACTTAGACCAGGTCATGGGTCTGCAAGCTGCAGAGCTGGCACCATAATCCTCTCCTGTCTGAAGCCACAACCCAGCTCACTGCGTGGTGGCGAGCTCTGAGGCTCGCAGAGATCTCCCTAGTACTGGGTGGAAGAGCCTTGGCCAGAGTCCACCCTGAACCCCGTTTCTCAGGTCCACTCAAGGCTGCAGATGTGACCCTTGGGCTTCATCTAGTGGCTGCTCCACCTACAAACTAGCACTGTAGTTGAGCCTCCTGATCCGTGTTTGGACTTCACCTGTTTAGTGACAGAATCACATCTAACTGGGGTAGCCACAAAAAACCAAAGGAAAAGTGACTAATTTGAGGACCAGTTTATTTTATCTAGGAACCCATGGCTGTCTCTTCTCGTGGAGTCTTCAGCTTTCAAGTTCAAGTGCTGGTCCAGTTTTGAAGGCAGTCCGGGTCATTAGCAGAAAGCGGCAGGCAGCGTTAGCAGCAGCCACGTGGGAACCAGAAAGGCACAGGGACAGGAGCCTGTGTCAGTTACCCAGTGCGCCCTGAGGGCTGGGGAGGCGGAGATGGGTGTTAGTTCATCTTTTCAATCCTGGGAGATGTCTTTCCATTCCAGGATTGTGACTTGATCCTGATAATTATGGGCTGAAAGGTCACCAAGAGGGCTTTCCAGGCAATGCTCAAATTAAACCCTCCCAGAGAAGGGTTTGGATGCCCTGGTGGAGATTTCCTTCGCATTCTGCACAGCTCCGTGGTCCTGCACTGGACCCGCCCACGGGACCAACCCCACCCATTGTCACCTCTTCATAAGACTTTCAAAATGTTCCCCCTAGACAGGGCCTCCTGGGCCCAGGGATGACCCAGGATCCTTGCTGGTCCGGGGTGATTTCCTGGGCAGATCTCACTGCCTCTGCGTCAGTGCATTTGAAATAATTCTACTAGAGCGGAGGGCAGATCCCCACTGGGGAAATGCGGAGCTGCTCTAGGTGCGCACCGTCTGCGATCCTCGTGGCACCCGGAGAGTGGGGCGTTATCTCATCACCCCTTTTGTCGATGAGGAAGATCTATGAAGTCTGAGGGGGCTGCAGGACGTGCCCGTAATGGCTTTTCAGACTTTCTGGCTGTGTCCTGGAGAAGTTCCCTGGAGCCCCTGGCTCCTCGCGGTGGAGCTGCGCATGCTCAGCTCTGGGCGGAGGGATGCTCAGCTCTTGGCGAAGGGCGGGAGGCAGGCTGAGAGGGTAGGCCTTACAGACCTTAAGCAGATTTTAAAGCCCTATGTGCCTCATCCACCTGGGAACTGGGGGTGGGGTGGGGGTGGGAGGGAAGCTGTGCTCCCACCTCCACCCCACTCCCCCAGAGAGGGCACTGGACCTGGTGACCTGCCAGGTCCTTTCCCTCCTGCCTCCAGCCCTGCTCCCCCACACCGCCCTGCACCTCTGAGCAGAGCTCTAGCAAGGAGAGGAGGAGAGAAGAGCTAAGAGATTTAGATTTCACCCCTTAGGCCCTGGGGCTCCATTTCCATATCCGCTTGTGTGAACTGTTCCTATGAATTCACACGCTAATGAAGACAGAGAAGGTGGACTTCCCCTTAGAGGCTCTGGGCGTGGTCTGGATGCACAGTGGTGGCCTTGTCTTGGGTCACAGCTGTGTCTCTTATGAACCTTAGGAGCCTGATCCTCGGGGGTGCCCTGATAACCTGGTGCCTTCTTCTCCCCAGGGGCACCCATGGGTACATGGCTCCTGAGGTGCTGCAGAAGGGGACAGCCTACGACAGCAGCGCAGACTGGTTCTCCCTGGGCTGCATGCTCTTCAAACTCCTGAGAGGGTGAGTGCAACTGTCCCCCCACCATGTACCCGGATCAAACTGGAGAAGGCTCTGGGCAGAGGGTGTGGCTCAGTGGTGGAGTGATGGCCTGGTGTGCCAGGGCCCTGAGTTGGATACCTAGCAGCCCAGGAAGAAAATGCACAATATTTGGAAACGAGGAGACCCTGGTGTTGTCTAGAGTCACGCAGTGATCTCACTCTGAAAGATGACGTGGGGCTCCCAGGCCTGGAAGCCTGAGGGCTGCCCTCCTGGGAGCTCAGGGGTCCAAAGCCATGCAGGAGCCTCACTGCGTGGAGACCTAAAGTAAGACTGCTTCAAAGTATTTCCATTGACAGCTCATGTTCTGGAATTGTATTGAAATGTAAATATTAAAGAAGATGGGGTAAATTGTTTTTTTCCACATAAACCAGTTACTCATGGTTCTCTTGAGGGTATAACACACTTTTGAGTTTTTATAGTTAATATTATATTCAGTTCTTGTTCCAACTGACAAATAAGATAGAATGGAAAAGATTCTGAAAGGGAAGTCCTCTCAAAGATGTTCCTGTGTCGAATAGCGATGTTGATGTTGCCATGTTTAAAGACCTTTTAGCCAACTTTAGTGGAGAATTCAATTTTATTTTATTTTCTTGCAGCCCTGGGGATGGAACCCAGGGCTTCATGTGCTGGGCAAGTGCCCTGCCCCAGCCACACCCCAGCCCTGGAGCTCAGTTGTAATAGAGCTCTTTTGTGTTCTTCATTTTTGAAGATGCAGAAAGCACTTCACAGTTTCCTAGTCAAGATTGTCCCTCTGCCACCTGTCCTTTGCACTTGGCCCTGCAGGGGGCTGACCCTGTTCATCACAGCCTAAGTGAGCACCTGCACAGCTTGCTCATCAGCACATCTGAAGAGATGCCAACTCCGCCTTCCCCAGCCCAGGCCTCGGGACCTGATGAGCCAGCCTTCTCTGCTCACTGTGTTCCCGGGGGACCCACAATCGTGTTATTGCTGAGGCAGTCGGGTCTGTTGTTCTGTAATTGAATCACCCTATTTGCGGAGCCTGGATGGGCTTAATTCCTGTCGTCAGACAAGCTGACCTGATTAGAGAGTTTATGCAAAGCAAACCAGAGAAAGCCATTGCCCAGGGGAGAGCCTGTCTCCCTGGGGAGCTGCCGGCAGGCGGTGGCAATGCCAGTCTTTGTTTTGATCCCTGCTGGGTACGGAATGAAAACACAGAATCTATGTCTAGGGAGTTTGAGGCTGATGGGAAAGTGGGCGACAGGTTAGAGTGTGGGAGAAGACAGTGGACGGTCGGGTTCAGCAGGGAAGTCTGCAAGGCCTTGTGCTTGGGGCTGTGCTTCTGTGGTCCCAGGGTAGGCTGGGAGGGGCTGCTGTGGCTCTGCCTGATGCACAGGAGTTGACCTTATGACCCAACAGGGTGGTTGTGGCTGATAAAGTGGGTCCCCTCGTATTTGGCTACAGTTCAACTTTGCCGCATGGGAAGAGATGCACTTTCCTGTGAAGCCCTTGGTTGCGCTCGATGGAAGTGTTCTGTTGGGGGGGGCTCCTGTGGTGGTGGGGGGTCTGGGCTGGTGGGACACCCAAGGGAGGTCACGGGATGGGAAGGAGGAGAACAGTGAAAGAGGCAGGGACTGTGTCTTCCAGGGAAAGGCTGGGAGAGGCCGCCTGGCAGTCGGGGGTCCGGAGAGAGTGGCGCCCCCGTCCCAAGGTCGTGGTACTGAAGGGCTTTGCCCACTGTGACTACAGAGGGCAGGGGATTCAAGATTGGCACAAGACTGGACATCAAGCACTGAGCCACCACCTGGAGGAGTGGTCTGCCCGGTGTAGGAAGGATAGGGCGAGGTGACTGTCCTCAGTGACACTGTGACCTCATGCCATATTATCTGTTCAAAGTCCTTCACAGAAACTTACAGCATTGAGATCAAAGCGTGGGAATGTGTTTGGCTCCAGGATTGGAGTTCAACTCGATGCACTTTTATTGAGTACCTGACACATACAAGAGACGGTTCCCGGGGAGGTGGGGGAGGGGAGGAGGAAGGCAGGGAGGCTGGAGGGCCCCTGAGCCAGAATAGGGCCACCGCAGGAGCACGGAGTGGGGCCCGTCATAACTTGGCAGGGTGGCCAGTGTCATGTCAGGCTAGGTGGGAGGTGGTGTGCGAGTGGGCGTTGTGGGATGGACAGGGTCGCAGCCTGGCTGGGGGTGGGATGAGCAGAGGTTCCGCATGGGGGGCGAGCAGGAGCAGGCTGCTGTCTTGCATGGCTGCCCGGAATGGTGAGTCCCCATCAGGGTGAGAAGACCAGGTTAGGACCCCGCAGCCTCATATGCCATGCTGGGGGTGTGGCCTTGGTCCCCAAGGTCCCCCACCCTGAAGACCTTGAGTATAGGAGTGGCTGGGCAGTCAGGCTTTCAGCAGGAGGGTCAGGCAGCCACGTGGAGAGGTGAGGCGGGCGAGTGCCGAGCTGGGTGTGGGCGCTTTGCCTGTGGAGGACAGTGGCATTGCCACCCAAACCAGCATCTGGAATCTCTCAGGTTCAGAGTAAGCCCAGGTTCCTGAAGGCCGTTCAGGAGCGAGACCCTGTGCTGGGGTCCTTAGGAGGCAGGACGGCACACAGGGCCTTTGTCCCCTGAGCTGCAGACCAAGGCAGCAGCCACATGGAGGGACCTCGAGCGAGTGGTCTCTGGCATCCGGGTCTCTCCTGCTGTGGAGAACATAGCCCTGGGAGCTGTCTTTTCCAGAGAAAAACGCAGCAGGAAACAATGGAGCAGGAGGTTGAGGGGCCTCTGGAGTGCTGGCTGAGGGTGGCCTGTCCCTTCTGCATCCTGGCACCCTCGAGAAACAGCCACAGTCGACCTGGAGTTGCAGCTGGAGACACCTGGAGACATACCTAAAGACACACCTGGAGACATCTATAGACACACCTGGAGACACACCTGGAGACATACCTGGAGACATGCCTGGAGATACCTGCAGACCCACCTGCACAGCACAGTCCCCTTCCCGGCAGAGCCTTCTGCTGGGAAGCTGAAGAGAAGCCTTCAGCTGCTGATTAAGAAATGCTTCTCCAGATCGAGCCCTTCTCCCTCCTCTCACCCCTGTGCAGGGAGCTTAAACCCGTGTCTCCAAAGGTCTTTCTCACATTTATTTCCTGTGCCTTTGTACTTCTCAGGCTGGCAGGTGTGTCCCGTGGCTTCTCCCTGACACTCTCTGTGCCCCTTACCCCCACCCCCGCCTGGTGCCTCAGAGCAGTCCCGTAGGCACTTGGAGGGGGATCTGGTGGAGACTCCTCCAGGGCCTGGGAGGTCCTGCATCCTGGGACACCAGTGCTGCAAGTCGCAGTGCACATGTCGTATTGTTGGATGGCGGTGTCAGATATTTAAGGTCACTGGTGTATGAAAACATGTCTGTGTTGCAAATCTGTGGAATTGCCAGCTGGTACCTCATCTAGATTGAAGTTGCCTGTTAAGGAGAATTGACGTGGCACTGGCCTCCATCTCAGCTTGTCACCACCGATTGTTGGTCCCTCAGCCTAGGTAGTGGCCGGGGGAGAGGTGAGCCCTGCCTGGGGTTGTTTTGCTCCACGTATGGAAACAGGGAAGGTTATAAATCCTTAGCCTGCTCTTGGCTCACTCAGGAGGCCTGTTTGAATGGCCACCGCAGGCTTTGGCTACAGGTCCAGTGTGCTCTCATTGGACCGCAGAGCCAATTTTCCCTGCAGTCCTCTCTGTATTCTAAAGTCAGTTTTCGACATGAGTTTTTCATCGTCTTGATTTTGAACCCACCATTGCCCATGAGTGGCTGCAGCCAACGTGCCTGATGCTTCCACAACATTATCGCCACTTCCCGGCTCGTGTGGGGGACGCATTCACTCTCCCACTCCCTCTGTGCCTGTGGGCGCAGTCCCACGTGGCCCCTTTGCCGGCAGATTGTGGCACGTGGTGCTGGGAGAACTCAGCTCTGCTGGGGGCTGTCGCAGGCCTGTGACTGTCTCCTATTTAAAGCGCCTGCATCAGGGAGCAGCTGTGATCACACAGGATCCGGGAGCACCACGTGCCCCACTCAGAATGGAGATTATTACTATCGTCGGTTTTCTTTAACACTTTCCAAAATAGAAACCAAATTTTTGGCTTTGTTCACAAAGAATAATCAAGAATGCACTGGAAACAGATGTGCATCAAGAGTTCCACTCGAACGCCCCAACCTTCTCAGCATTCCGGCAGTAGCGGCTTGAAGAGCTGAAAAGCAGCCCTGATAACTCCCCATTGAGTCAGACGGGGAGTCGCTCTATTTATAAACGGGACCTGGAGCGCTGGGCCATGTGCTGGCCGTGTTTCTGGCACTGCCGCCTTGAACTCCAGTCCCCTTACGAGCCTCCCTGTGGTCCCAAGAAAGGCTTTTAAATTTAGCACAGAGAAGGCGTTGGAACCCAGCAGCCCCTCTCTGCAAGGTCAGGGCACAGCCCTTTCCTTCCAGCGTGAGGGTCAAGTGCAGGTGGGGATGCGAGCTTGTCTCATTTGTTTTGGTGCCATGACAGAATGTCACAGCCTGGGAGGTGGATGGAGAAAGACACTCACTTCTCACCTTTCTGGAGGCTGGGGAGGAAGTTCCAGAGCGAGGTGCGCCTCTGGAGAGAGCTCGCCTGCCCTGTGGTCATGGGGTGGAGTCCCACCACATGCAGGGAGCAGAGAGAGCAGGGACAGCAGGGAGGCCAAACCCCAGCGGCAGGGACAGGTCAGGCAGGGACCTCAGAGTGTCACAGGACAGTCAGCCCCCCTATGAGCTGGGGGTGGCGTCCCCACCTTGGCAGGGGTGCAACGCCACAGCGGGTCCTTCTGCTCTGCAACAGGAGCCCGCAGAGCTCCGGGGAGCTCTTCCTTGGACCCCTTTTTAGAGGCCGGGGAACACTGGAGCAGGAAAGGCCAGCGTCAAGCAGGGACTGACGTCTTGATGCAATGAGATAAACTATTTTCCTTTCTTTGGGAACTCTCAACATGTGAATATTTTTATGGATACAAAAGAGAATGATGGAAATTCAATTTTTTTTTAAAAAAAGCATGATATCTTCTAAATAACAGATTGTATTTTGTGTGTGTATCCAATTGCTTTTTAATTCAGTAATTGCACCTTTTTCTTTGGAAACAAGGTGAAATAAGTATTTCCCATCAAAATCTGTTTTAAACATGCCTGCTTGCTGCCACTCTGCCTTAATTTGATTCTTTTTTTTTTCTTCCCCAAATTAGTGCTTTAAAGTGGTTGACATCATTGTGGTTTTCACTGTGTGACAAGGAATCACACAGGCGTCACAGTGCCCTCTCCCGCACAAGGGGAAAATCACCATGGGCAGGCAGGCAGGAGACGTCTGCTGCATGCTCGTCTTGACAAGAGGTGGTTTGCCATGTGACTTCCGTGTCACTGTGTGACTTCTGTGTCACTGTGTGACTTCTGAGCTTGGGTGGGGCAGCGGCTCACGGGTAGCACAGGCAGCGCGAGGAGGACTGGGATTTCCATTCTTTCTCAGAAGCCCCTTGACTTACGTGCTCAGCCGCCTTCTGATACTTTGCGTGAAGTTGACATTACAGTGCTTCCTGCAGATCACGTCCCGGCTGCCTTACAGATGATTTATAGGGTAAATCACTCGGCAAGTGGGTGTTGCCACAAGTAACTTCATTCGCCTACGTCATTTCTTTAATTTTCAAAGACACAAATGGGCTCTGCTGTTGCAGTTTGCATGTTTAGAAGCGTCACCCAGTGATAAGCTTCCCTTCCAATGCCAGCGTCTCCAGAGTCTTGAGCACGTGGCGGAGTGAGGGGAACCTGCCCCGCGAAATTCCAAGTGTCGCCCCTCATCTATGAACTCTGCCAAGGGCCCCGTCTTGGTAGGGAGGGCTGGCTGCCCACCACTACCCCGCCAGCTGCTTGTGGGGTCCTTGCTTCAGTTGTCCCTTCTTCCTTTCTGTAGGGTGCAGGGCACGGTCCCCATCTTCCAGGAGAAGGACTGGGAGCTGCGGGGGTTTTTCGGGCTCAGTGAGTCACAGCTGGACCTGGCTTCTGTGCCTAAGGTCTGGGCTCTTCAGGGATGGCACCCAGAGTCATCAGTCCCCGGGGGGCGCAGGCTGGTCCATGGCTGTCACCAGCAGAGGGATGGCTTCCTGTTGCTGGCTTCCAGGGAGAATAACATCCATCTGGATCATGCCGTTGGCCTGCAGGTCCTCGGGAGGTTTTAGAAACAGTATCTTGTTTAGCTGAAAAAATTGCACGGAATTCATGGCTGTCTCAAGCACCCCAGTGACTAATTTACACAGGTGGCTTTCATTTTCATGACCACCTGCTGGTGGCTCGTTTTCCCTCTGAAAGTCTTCACTGAAAATGCACATTTAGTGCCGCACTTGCGCTGCGCAGAGGCTCAGGCACCAGAACGTCCTGCTCCTTCAGGACCCAAGGGTTTATTTTGGTTTTTTGTCTTTTGTTTTTTCTGGAAACAATGCTCATGAGCTTTGCTTTTCTGCAGTTTTGAATGAACAGTAGCAGGGCAAAATACTTCTACCCAAATGTTAGTCAATACGTGTGCTGTTACCTGGCGCCATATTTTAATAGAATGTTCTTTGTCTCCACAGCCACAGCCCTTTCAGACAACATAAAACCAAAGATAAGCATGAAATAGACCGGATGACCCTCACCATGGTAAGCATGAGATGGACCCGACGACCCTCATCATGGTGAGGGGACTCAAGAGTCTGTCCTCACCTGCATCAGGGCTCTCAGACATCACACCATTAAAAATAAAATTGGTATAAAGTACATACAAAGCATGGACAAATTCTGTAAAACAGTTTGAAGTATTTGTGTGTAGTATGCAAAAATCACAAAACTTGGCTTTTGTGAGTGAGATAAACAGACAGAGATACCGTTCCTAGAAGAACGTCTAAAAGGTAAGGAATGGAGGTAGACCCAAGGCAGGAATCGCGACTCACAAACAAGCAGTGGAAGAAAGTTACAGAAAGTCAAGTACAAAACCAAGAAAATCAACAAAGGGAGGGCCTGCACAGGGGCAGGAGGGGCCCCCAAGTCCACCGCTCCGTCCCCCGCGCTGCCTGTCTTGGGGTGCCGTTTTCCGTGCTGTCCTGACCCAGGGGCCTCGGGTGTGAGGCTGCTGTTTCCAGGAGCCGCTGTTCTCTCCCCAGAACGTGGAGCTCCCGGACACCTTCTCCCCTGACCTCAAGTCCCTCCTGGAGGGCCTGCTGCAGCGGGAAGTGAGCCAGCGGCTGGGCTGTCACGGAAGCGGGTAGGCTCAGCTCTTCTGTCCCCACAGGCGGGGACCGAATGTGTGTGCACTGCTCTGTGAGTGCTGTGACTGAGAAGCCGGGAGCCTGTGAGGTGTGGAGCCAGCCTGGTGGAGGACGGAATGAACTCGGCCACCTTGCAGTCCCTGTCCCCGTGGTGCATGCCACTGTCTCAGTCTTGCACTGAGATGTTGTGACCGGCTCCCACGTTTTCTCCCAGGCCCACCTGAGGAATGGCCGTCTCCTTCACCTGCTCTCCCCTCCCCCAAAGCACCCCCAAACAGACCAGGGAGGAAGCTTTAGAGAAATGCTTACACAGACAGTCCCTGATTTGTCCCCACACGTGGCTGGCTTCACACGGAAAGGACAGTATGTCACTTGTGTGTGTGTGTGTGTGTGTGTGTGACGTGTGTGTATTTTTGTATTTCCAGAGTAGCCTGCATGTGTATGCGCTCATTATTCCTGAATACTGTGTGTGTTTTATTTAGCTAAATAATATGCTCATATGCACATTTCCTTATTTATCGGTTCCACTGAGGGTGTCCCATTCCCACTGTAAGAATAAAGCCCTGGTCACTGCCCCCTCCCCCCTCTTCCCTCCTCTCCCCCCCTCCCAAGAGTCCAAGTCTACTTTGGGATCCTCTTTTGTTTACCTTTGTAGCTTTAAACTATAGATTTAGCCAGTGGTGCCTTTTCTCACCAACTACAAGCAGCATCTCTTGAGTCCCGACTGTATACAGTGAGGCTTCGACATTCTCTTCATTCATCAATTGCTTCTCTCTCCCTCGTTTGTCATGTACTTTTCTATTTTTGCCAAATTAACTTGTTATTGTCTTTTCCCTATTCTTTGATCACAATGAATCCCAACCTTTGCACTTTGCATGGGTTGATTTCAAAAGTTGCAGGTGAAATAGTGTTTGTACCATAAGGCAACTACGTAGTCTGGTAATAGGCCTTACATTTATTTATATAACATGACGTGAGTATATGAAGAGATGATATCACAGTCATGGGCTTTTACTTTTCCTGGTTTTCTTCATGGCACACAAACTACCAGCTCCAGTGAGAACCACGTGATTTCGGCCAGTCGGCTTCCTTGCAGCCGGCGCCGCCCTGCTCTGCTCTCCTGGTCTGAATCACCATCGACTTGATCCCTCGCCTCTACTTTTCTGGGTCCCTCTGTTTGAGCTGGAGCATGTTCCCAAGGAATCTTAGAGAGGGGCTGTGAGAGGCCAGGTGTCTGGGTCTCACCTAGACTGTCTTCCTGCCGTCCACAGACATGACTCATGTAGGCCAGACACGGGACAGTCAGTCAGTCACTAGCAACCCCCCAGAACTCTGAAGACTCTGCTTTATTGAGTACAAGTGAACAATCCCTGTGGTATGGAACTCCCGTAGTTCCTGACGCCAGGTGCTTTCTCTCAAAGACTCATGCTCTTCAGCTTAGGGGAGAGTCTTGTTTAACTTGTGTACATTTCCGCTCCTCCATTTCTCCCAGAAGTCCATTGGCTGGATGCTGGGACTTCTAGGCTGGTCCCCTCTGCTCCTGATCTTGTATATTATCCATATCTTTGCTTTGACTCTTTCTTATACTTTCTGATCACTTAAATTTCCAACCCTTTTACTGATTTATTTTGAAAGATTAGTAACAGGTTTAGTTTCTTGACTGTGGAATCTTTCAGAGCTTTTTCATTGCTGTGGCTAAAGGATCCACCAGAATAACTGTGGAGGAGGAAGTTTATTTGGAGGCTCATGGTTTTGAAGGTCTCAGTCCATAGACTGAGGGCCCAAGGTGAAGCTGAACATCATGGTGGAAGAGTGTGGAAGAGGGAAGTAGCTCGCATGATCCTCAGGAAGCAGAGAGAGAGAGACTCTACTCCTCAGATATAAAACTTATAACCCAAGGCCACGCCCCCAGGGGCCCACCTCCTCCAGCCACCCCCACCCACTCTCAGTCACCACTCAGTTAATCCCTTCAGGGGGGCTAACCACTGATTGGATCAAGACTGTCATGGCCCGGTCACTTCGCCTCTCAGCCTTCTTGCACACATGAGCTTTTGGGGGATAGCTCATATCCAAATCATACGGGGGTGGGGGGTAGTTCCTTCCCACCAGGACAGCTGCAGGTGCTTGGGGCTTGGTGTGGGGCAGGAGGTTCCGTGTGCAGGTGTCCAGCTGTGTCCAGCAGTGCCCCAGCCCTGTGTCTCACACGCACTCATCCTCTGTGATGAACCTGGAGGTCAGCACATGGCTCCGTCCCCAAGACCCCAGCTCGGCCACTCTGCCCAGTCCCCGCTCTCTGTCCCCTCCCCCACTTGCCAGCTGGTGGCCCTGGCTGCCGCCTCTGGGGAGGGTCTGCCTCTCTGTGCTCTGCTGTCCCTCGGGCCTGTGGGAGGGGCAGGGCTGATCCAGAAGCCACCCCTGCGGCCCTCGGCAGTTGCTAGTGGATGTGAGGAAACCAGGAGCCTGTCTAGCTCACGTCTAGGGCTAGTGACAGGGCACCAACCATAGCACAGCTGCAGAAAGCCCCAGGGCTTCTGGTGGACATGCCCAGAGCTCCGTGACCTGGACTCCGCCCCACTCGGTGACCCCTGAGCCCTCGCTGAGCGCCAGCCCCATCACCCTGCCTCCGCAGGACAGGACCCAGATGGACTTGGCACTTACGTGGAGTGGAGACGGCACCAGCAAACAGACCACTGAGAGGACAAGGGCTGTGAAAGGGACCAGGAATGACTTAAGCAAAGTGGTGGGCAGATGGTGGGAAAACTTTGTAGGTCGAGGGCTTCGGGTGGGAGGGCCTCAGACAGGCTGCGATTCAGAAAAGCCAGGAAGGCTGGGTCACAGAAACTGAGGGTGGAGGAAGAAGACAGGTAGAAGAATGGATCCCAGAGGTGGCCCCTGGCCAGGTCCCCTGGGCCCTTGTCACTGGGGTGCGGCACTGAATTTTGCCATAAGTTCCCAGGGAAGCTGGGAAGTGAGGGGCAGCAGGGCAGCTCGGGTGGGAGGAGCGTGGCCTGGGGGCAGCAGAGCAGCCTCAGACCTGCTGCGTGGTCCATGCAGGGCTGCTGGGCAGGCACTTGGACATGAGGCCTCATGCAGACAGGACTTGGGCGTCACGTGACGTCACCAAAGGCACACAGGGCCTGGGCGGGCCCTTGTGGTGTGTCTGAGGACCGGCCTGGGCTCTGCAACACAGATGGACAGAGAAGTGCTGTGGGTCAGGGAGGTCTTGACCATGAACTTCAGGAAGTTTGTTTCTTCAGCTTAGGAAGGGGCTCGGCACTCAACCCACCACTAGATTTCTAGTTTGCATCCAAGTCAGTGTTTCCTGCTTAAGATCATCATTTTCCCTATCAGAACCAGCAGACATTTGCCACAAATTTCTTAAATGTGTAGATCTCCAATTTAATTCTTATTAAGCTAAATTCTTATGGCTACAGAATCGCCATTGACAGGCACGTAGAATGTGTGTGTGTCCTCTACTGTTCTGCTTTTAAGGTGTCACACACCTATACCTGCCGCGGGGTGTGGGCGGGCCATGAGTGGTCACATGGACGGGCTCCAGGTACTGCCCTAGGCCTTTCTCAAGGTCACGGCGTTCCCTGAGCTGCTCTGAGAGAAGCGTCCTTACTTGCTGTCCTGAAAAGCTGTGGTCACTCCGACATGTTGTAAAGTACCTCTCCCGTCTCCAGTGCATACTCACCACCTTTAGGACCCTCTCTTCCCCAGTGCCCAGGAGGTGAAAGGACATGGCTTCTTCAAGGGCATCGACTGGCAGCACGTCTACCTGCAGAAGGTACTCACACCCAGGCCCTGGTGCCACGGCCTCTGCGCTCTGCCCGCTTTGCCTCTCCTCCTTGCTGGCTTCCTGGACCTGGTCCCCACCCAGCTTCCTGTGTCCACAAAGCTCTGACACCCGGGTGTTGCCCTTGGCTGACCCCCTTTGGGACAACAACTCACTCTTCCTTTTGTTTTTTGGGTTGGCCCTGCACCCCCAGGCTCAACCAACCACAGGTGAAAGATAGGAAGAAAAATCTCATCCGTATGGAATATGCACAGATTTTTTTCCCTATTAGTTTTTCCCCAAACAACCTAGTCTAGCAACGATTCACATAGCACTTACACTGTACTGGGGATTGCATCATCTAAAGATGGCACAGTATCCAGGAGGAGATGGCCAGGTCCTAGGCAAATACCTGTGATTCTACATCAGGGTCTCAGGCATGTGCTAATCTGGGTCTGCAGGGGGTTCCTGGGACCAATCCTCAGATACTGGGGGACAGCTTATATAAATTTCAAAAATACCTCCTCTATAAATTAATTAAAGATAAAATAGAGCTGTTATGTAGCTAATTCAAATGTCCATATAATTGAGACATTTTAGTTTTGGCCCATCTGCTTGATTTCTTAACATGGCCGTAGTTTTACATAGACTTCTGTAAAAGTATAGGAGAAACTTTTGGCATAAACTTATATATATCTTCTAGCCCCGGACCACGTAGTTTAAGAATTAGCATGATTGTATATCAGCACAATTCCTTTATTTTTTTTATTCTTTTAAAAACATTTCTTGTGATGCTGGGGATGGAACCCAGGGCCTCCCCCATGCTAGGCACGGCTGCACCCCTGAGCCATGGCCCAGCCCTGTTTCCTTATTTTAAGCTTCATTATATCTCATTGATATAGGAAAACCCCAAATAAAATATATTTTTAAGAATATACTTTATTCTTATGTGATTGGCAGTTTCTGCACGAATGCAAGCTGCAGAGGGGCGTCCCTTCTGTGGGAAGGACACCCTGACTGGTTGGTCCTGTAGACAGAATCTGGGCATGGCCACTCACCTGGGCGACACCTACAGGTGTTGGAGCTTGGCGCTTCTGCAGGCGCCGTGGTGGCAGGTTGTGGCTCCAGTGACCAGGAGGAACACTGCATCCTCTGAGGGAACTGCTTTCTAGAGGCTGAGTGGGGGGTGAGGGGTGTGAAGTCTTGAGACTTCATTATATTTAAAAATGTTTTAAGACTTGAAGGTCTTTTTTTTTTTTTTTTGCCCCTGAGACTTGGCTGTCCCCTGGGGCTGCCAGTGCAGACCCTTGTGTGAATGCATATGGCTTTAGTGCTGCTCAGAATGCAGCAGGGTGACTTCACTCAGCTCCTGACACAGACTGCTGGGAGGGGAGGGGGCCGCCAAGGGCAGCTGATAAGGGAACCCGCCTCCTTGCCTCTTTCAGTACCCACCACCCCTCATCCCTCCCCGGGGAGAGGTCAATGCTGCGGATGCCTTTGACATCGGCTCCTTTGATGAAGAGGACACCAAAGGCGTTAAGGTACGCGGGTGCTGGCTGCCTTCTGGTTTGGGGTGGAGAGAATTTCTGTTGAATGTCCATCAAACTTAGTGATTGCTCTAGCACGGTTGTAGAATGTCACCTACAAGTGAATATCTACGTAGTTGACATATGTGCAGTCAAAGACCTACCTTAGACAGACACCATAAAAGCTTTCTTTGTACTGCTAATTTTATTTGTCTTTTATTAGGTCCTGGGGCTTGAACTCAGGGACACTCACCACTGAGCCCCATCCCAGCCCTATTCTGTATTTTATTTAGAGACAGGGTCTCACTGAGTTGCTTAGGGCTTCATTGTTGCTGAGGCTGGCTTTGAAATCAACATCCTCCGGCCTCAGCCTCCCGAGCTGCCGGGATGACAGGCATGCGCCACCATGCCCAGCCTTGCTAATTTTGATTTTGACAAACTGCAAAATGGTTGATTGATATGGAATATTTGTGTTTGAAATAAAACTTGAATGAATGTGAGCCAGAGAAACAACTTGACATCCAGCACAGCTCACCTGGTACCTGAGCTCAGTCGTTGTAATTCTCCTAGTAGGTGGGTCCCCAGGCTGGGACGAGAACGCCAACAGCAGGGGCCATTTGCTTGTGTCAATCAAAGGGACATAGTCCCTGCCTTTTGTGTCATCCTTGGCATTTTTGAAGCTTCTGTTCACATCATCATTTTTCTAACTAGAGACAAGTCATAATTACAGATGTGATCACCAAGGAAAACTATCGTCTTTAAGATGCTAAGTTGCAGCGTGTCACTAGCGTCAAACTGTCATCTGCCCCCTGTGAGCCCCCACAGCTCATCCCAGGCTCTTCCCACCACCCCAGGCCCCCTCCTCTTAGCTGCCGCCCACGTGCTCTTCTCTAGGCACCTCCCCTTGTCCCCCAGGTGCCTTCCCCTCCAGAAGGCAGCAACACTGTCAAAACACACCTGCCAGGTGCAGAGCAAAGACTGAAATCACTGGCCGGGCAGGAGCTCTGAAGGGACAGAGGTGGTGGGTAGAGGACCAGAGGAAGTACAGAGGCCCTGGGGAGGAGGGCAGAGTCCAAGGCCACCTGCCTGGCGAGCTGGGGAAGGAAGTGGTCAGAGCTGGCAGCTCCAGGAGAGGAGGGCAGAGCTGGGGTGTATGCAGGAGCAGCCCCCAGGAGGAGGAGGTGAGGTGCCAGAGGACCAGGGGCAAGGCCACAGCGTGTGAAGGGTGTGAAGTGATTCAGCAGTTTAGAGGCACCCCTCTGAGGTCTGCCGCCCTGGGCTCCCCGGGACAGCAGCCGGCATGCCCAGGCCTGCCCTCACTGGGCCGCGTCTACAGTGTGACCCTTCGGAACCCGTCCGAGTGCCAAGCATCCATGTATATCACTATTTAAAAGGGGCAGCTGTCACAATAGAATTCTGTCATCATATATGCCACTGTCCATCAAAATTAAATTAAAGCTGCTATTATGTGGAAGCCCAGACAAAATTTTCACATGAAAGATCCTCTGATGGAAACTTTCTATAAACCGGACTCTGAAGACTTGGTGTGAAGATGGTGCGATGACCAGTCCAAGCCCCGGGCCCACGGTCAGCCCTTGTGGCAAACTAGTGGCTTCTATCGCTGCGGCTTCAGGGGAGAGCGCAGCGGGATGTGGAAACCGTGTGGGAACGAGGCTGGGAGGGTGGAGCCTGTGTGGGAATGAGGCTGGGAGGGAGGAGCCTGTGTGGGAATGAGGCTGGGTGGGAGGAGCCTGTGTGGGGAATGAGGCTGGGTGGGAGGAGCCTGTGTGGGAATGAGGCTGGGTGGGAGGAGCCTATGTGGGAATGAGGCTGGGAGGGAGGAGCGTGTGTGGGAATGAGGCTGGGAGGGAGGAGCCTGTGTGGGGAATGAGGCTGGGTGGGAGGAGCCTGTGGGGGAACATGACTGGGGGGAGGAGCCTGTATGGGAAGGACGCTGGGGGAAAGGGCGCAGCCCTGATGGCGCGTCCCCTGGCAGCCCCTGGTCTTCAGGAGCACGGCTTCTCCACCTGTGGGAAGCAGCCCCCTCCCCCCACTGCTCTGTTCATCACAGAAGGCTCCGCCCCTCACCTCAGGTCGCCCTCAGCTCTCCTCTAAGTCCTGCTGAGCAGTGGGGCTGGGTCCCAGGATGGAGGCTTCTGGAAGGCCTGGGAGGCGCACCGTGCATCCACAGAGCAGGGCTGGCTGTTGTAGGGCAGCCGCTCGGAGGGAGTGTGGGGCCTGGCGAGGTGGCACTGCCGCCCCTGCCCTCACTCTCAGTGGCACACCCTCACCCCAGGTGCCACCTGCCCCTCCTCACACCCAGAACTGCGCTTAGTCTGGAGGTGTGAAGACGGCAGGAAGGGGCCCTGCCAGCCAGGGGTGTGGGAGTGGGGGTGCCTTCCCCGCAGCACAGTCAGGCACATAGACAGACCGTGCCCCAGTCTGGGGTGTGGGGCGCACTCGGCCCACCCGGTGTCTCTTTCCCTTCTAAAGAGCTTGCCTGCTGCAGTGCTTGTCCCCTTCTTATTTCTCAGAAAAAGGAGTAAGGAACTCGGACCCTAGAGAGAACTGTGCTTCTCACAAGACCCGGGTTGCTCCTCTCAAATTGTATTCCTCGGCCCTCTACACCATAGCTCAGGGACATGATGACTTTTTTTGGTGCTGGGGGCACAGGGGCACTTGACCACTGAGCCACATCTCCAGCCCTTTTTTATTTTGAGACAGGGTCTTGAGGCTGGCCTCGAACCTGCCATCCTCCTGCCTCAGCCTCTGGAGTTGGTGGGATTACAGGCATGGGCCACTGCACCAGGATCTTGGCTCATTTTCAAAGTGCAGCCTCTCTTAGAGGGCAGACGGAAGAATTTTGAATAACTGGAAGCAAAAATGCTATCATTACGTGTAATTTTTATCACAGCAACTCTTACAGGCTGTGTTGCCTAAACTCTCCACGCATCTTGGGCTTAATGTCTCTACCCATGTTCATAGTGTTTAATTACTTGGAAAGTTCATGGAAAGAATGGTGAATTCAGCCTACGTTACCTTGTGTTTGACTTTTCAGATGAACCGATGGTAGGTTGGGAACCTTCTTGGCTTTGCCCTTATCATGAGCTCTAGAATTATATGGACTGTTTTCCTACTTTATAGACAAGGTACCCTCACTGTAGTCGCAGTGGCACTTGGTGGCAGAACCTACCCGTCCATCAGGTTGGTTTTCAGTGGCACAGACGTCATGAAGCTGGCGTAGAAGGGGCCCAACCCCCTTCCTCCTGCAGTGGAGAGCTGTTGTCTCTAGCAGAGGTGGTCGTCCTGTCACCTCCCTGAATACTGTTGTGCCGGGGCCACCACGGGTGGCGACGTGAGCCTTCAGAAGTGCACTAAATCATAAATGTCTTGGTTTCTTAAATTGGCAAGCTGCTGGACTGCGACCAGGAGCTCTACAGGAACTTCCCCCTGGTCATCTCCGAGCGCTGGCAGCAGGAAGTCACAGAAACCGTCTACGAAGCCGTCAATGCAGACACGGACAAGGTGGAGGCCAGGAAGAGGGCCAAGAACAAACAGCTGGGCCACGAGGAAGGTGAGAGGCCACGCAGCTCCAGCCCTCCCGGGGCGGGGTCTCCACGGGTTATTGGGAAAGCGTCGGGTGTCGTGTGTTTTCCAACAAAGAAAAAACAATGCCCAGCGTCACGGTAGCTTCACGTGTGTTGGAGGCGTTCGGGGTGGTATTCCAGAGCCCCTAAAGAAACAGCGTCCCAGGCTCGGATCCTCAGGGAAGCCCGGGCACAGTGAGCAGGACCTCTCCACGGGCCTCTTGGCCTGGCAGGCTCTTCCCGGAAGAGGGACACGCCCCTGTGGGCAGGGCCAGCCTACCTGTGTGCCCTGCCCAGTCACAGAGGCCTGGACAGGGTTTCATGCCCTGCGTCAGCACCTCGAGACCCCGGGTCTGTGATGGCACTTGAAGAAGGGTCATGTTCCCATCAGGTACCAGCCGCATAGAGTTTGTGACTGGTCCCGGCAGGGAACTGGGCTTGGCATGCCACCTGTCAAGAGAGATAAGCGTGTAAATACATCTGTGGTACAAACCGCATTAAAGAACAGCCAAAGTGTGCCTTTTCGTTTAAAAAATCAGGTGCCCTGTTAGGATTTCTATAGAAAATGTAACAACAAACATGAATCTGTCAATCATCCTTGATTCACTGAACGTTGTGACTCTTGATTTTTCCAAGATCTCTTTTAGTTGGGCTGTTTGCATGTACTGTAGTTGATGATTGAGGTAAGACACATCTTGTTTGACATTCACGCTGAACCCTAGTTCAACCTTGCAGACATTTAGGAGGTACCGAGGGTGCTTCCCCTCTATGTTAGGGCAGCTGGCTGGAGGCCCCCTGCTGGAGGATCCAATGGTCTCAGTGGACTCCTTCCTTGGGGCATTTATCACCTATTTAGGACAGCCGGCTCCGGCCTTGTGTTCTGGTGACTCTCCTACGTGAATCCACAGGGCTTTGCCTCCACGCCTCATCTCCACAGGGCCATGGCCTGCTGTATACACTAATCCTTAGAGAGCTGGTCCCTGGGGATCACACTGGGACACCCTCACCATGGCAGGTTTTACCCTAAAAAGTGTACGAACGGTCATTTGGTGGATGGAGGGCCCTAATGGTCCTAGGATCTGGAAAACACCCTTGCCCAGGTGACCTTGTTGAAGTGTATTATTTGCATCAGAACCATCATCATTTGACAAATCGATGAGTTCATCTTCATACATACATCCTTAGTAATCTGTGACCTTGGTTGGCCACCTCAGAAGTCACCTTCACAGAAAAGCAGAGTCCAGCTTGAGCTCTCTGAACAAATACTGTGTTGGGATTTAGACACTTTCTGAAAACCAAGCGCTGTTTTGCTCAGGGTGGCGGCTGCAGAGACGCCAGCCCTGGCCCTCTGTGCCCTGGTCCTTCCCCACCTGCTCCTGCCCCTCCTGCTGTGGGGACACGGCAGGGGGGTGGCTCCTTTGTCTATTTCTACACCTCTCACTGGGCTTAGCTCCCCAGGGCAGGATTTTGTCCTTCCTGTTCCCTGGACATGCCCAGCCCTGGGCCTTTGCCCAATCGTTGTCCGAGGAAGGAGAAGCTCAGCCTGTGAGCCATGTCAGGGTCCCCAGGGCTGCGACCAAGGCTCCAGATTCCCCTGTAAGAGTCCACAGATGGGTGGATGGTCTCTGCACAGCCACACGTTGAGGAAGAAGCTTAGCCCCTGCTCAGGAAGGGACTGCCCATGATTGACTCTGCTGACCTGGGTGACAAAGGCCCCCTCTAGTGTCACCTGTAGAATGAAAGGAAGAGGAGAGGGACCTTCCCATCCCACAGAGGACAGGGGTGTGGATGCGCTCCTCTTCTCACCACGCACACACACAGCAGGGACAGAGATGGTCTGGGAACACACTTTGTCCCCTCTGAGCAGTCAATGCACGGGTCTGACTGAAGAGTGTGGAGAAGTGTCATCTAGTGTGTTGGTAGGGACGCCCAAAGAGACGCCTGTCCTTAGACCAGCCGAGGTGTGTTGATGGAGACGCTCCATCTCCCGCCGTCGCCTTCTGCCCTCCCGGAGCGGGTGGCCGGCCCCCGGCTGCGCAGCCACCCCACACTCGCTCGTCTCCCCGCAGATTACGCGCTGGGCAAGGACTGCCTCCTGCACGGCTACATGCTGAAGCTGGGCAACCCGTTCCTCACGCAGTGGCAGCGCCGCTACTTCTACCTCTTTCCCAACAGACTCGAGTGGAGGGGAGAAGGCGAGTCGCGGGTGAGTCGGGGGCAGGTCGCGTCTGTGCCCTGCGCTCGCCGCAGGATGAGCTCAGGTCCCCAGTGGGTCTCCTAACTTCCTCCACGAGCCGGGGTCTCGTCCAATCTTGTGCATCAGGCTGGGGCGCCACGCTGTCTCCTCCAGCCCCCCAAGTCCAGCCAAGTCAAGGAAGGGCCTTGCAGTGCCTGAACATGGAAGGTGTCCAGAGGAAACCCTGGACAGTTACTTCGCCTGCTGTCAATCTTACCGGTCATCTGAGGCCCGGTGCTGTGCAACAAAGACGTCTCAGTCTGTTAGCAGCTTCTGAAGGTCTGACCGTCCCCTGTGGAGGGGAAACAGGGCTCAGATGGGCACCGTGTGGCCAGGGACACAGCTGGACAGTGTCAATGGGGGGCGTTCAAACCCACGTCCACACAGGCCTCCCACCTCTCCCCACATCAGATCAAATGAAATGTCACCCACAACACTGGGCACAGAGACGAGGTCACCAGACCACACTCCCTCTTGTCTGCCCCCGGTGGAGTCTGCAGGTGGCCCTCATTTAGGGACAGGAAGATGTGCTGTGCTCTTGGGTTCTCCGTGGAGCTAATGGGCAATGAGTGTAAAAGGAAAAGAAGTCTCTGCTCCACCCTGTACCTGGTGGCAGGTCAGGCAGCATTTGTTAAGCACCTCCTGTGTGCTGATGGCCGGGAAAGGAGCCAGCAGTGGGTGAAGGCCTGTCCTCTGCTCCCGGGGAGGGCATGTCTGTCACTGTAAGCCAGAGATGGTCCTGGATGTCAGAAACGTCGTTATGTATTAGGCGATCAGAACACGGCTGCCACCACTCCCTGTGGAGTCGGTGTGGAACACAGTAGGCCCTGATCTTACCCTTCCACTCGGGACGGTGCTTTGGAATCCCTGGGTGGAAGTTGTCATTTAACTATGAATGGCTGGGATTGCATATAACACATTGTTTTAAAAAAATAAACAGGCTCTCACAGATTTTTGTACCAAAAAAAGCCATTTTTTAAAAAACTAGCATAGCTAGGATCTCATTGACAAGATCTTTGTGGCTGTGAGTCACACACGACACAGGTGCAGTGCAGGTGGAGGTGGCCCCGGAGCTCAGGCCGTCCCCAGGTAAGGGGGCACTGGGCCTTTGTTCATTTACACTGTTGTGCGCATGGGAAGGAAGCCGCCCCGCTTTTCAGGATATTTAAAAAATTAAAGACTCGACTTCCTATGTTCAACCTGAGATGCAGGAGCTGACCTTGGTGTTGAAAGGTCACACCCAGTGCTCTCCTGAGCAGCTGCAGAGCACAGGGCGCGGTTGGTAAGGTCAGAGGAGAAGGGGAACTCAGGAGCTTATGACGCTGTTGTTTCTCATTTAGGATTCCAGGAGTATTTACCCCCAAAATCACAAAATGGTAAGGAACTCACGCATAGCCTTTGCCGTGTGCAGCGATGCTGTACACCCAGTGTGACAATCTCTTAAAGCTGTCACCTGTATCTGCAGTGCCATTTCGATAGCATCTGACATCGCCAGGCCTTTCCTGAGTTGCTGTAAGCCCTAGGCCAGGCTTGGGGACTTCCCTCACAGCTTGAAGGATGGCCCCTGAGGCCAGATCAGTTCTGTGGCAGGTCGCGCTCCCCTTGGCCTCGTAGAAGCATTGCTTTCTTTGCGGTTTTCTTTGAGACATTATCATTTGGATTTTCCTGTGTGTTCCTTTGTAGCCATTTCCCCTTCCGTTCTAGAACATCATCAAAGAAAGAACAACGCTGCTTCTCTTCTTTCTTTTTTTGGACTTGTTCTGAGTTCTTGGTATCATCACTTATTCATTTAAGAAATTTAAAAAATCATGAAATACTTGGAAGTAACTTTTATTTATTTCGTTTGTTTTTATGGTTAGCAAAATCTACTGACCATGGAACAAATCCTCTCTGTGGAAGAAACTCAGATTAAAGACAAAAAGTGCATTTTGTTCAGAATAAAAGGAGGGAAACAGTTTGTCCTGCAGTGTGAGGTGAGTGCGGCTCCTTGTCTCTTGGGTGAAGGTTGAGCCACTGCTTGACACCAGCACCGCTGGCTGCCCGGCACCAGGGTGCCCCACGGGGTCCTGCGGCCCTTACAAACTGAGCCAGGTGTCCACCACATCAACAGGTAGTTCAAAAAAGAAAATATGTGAAAACAGAAGGAGGAAATACCTGAGTTTGGTGACCTTATGTGGAAACCCCCAGCACTCCGTGGGGGTGGAGTTTTATGGGACCTGAGGTTCTAGGTCTGACCTAGAACCGTTTGAGGTTGAAGTTCACACGTTTAAACAAACGGAAGAGACCAATCAGACTTCTCTAAGGGGCGATGCTCTTTTCCCTCCAGTTGTAGAGCCCAGGTTTCATTCCTGAACACTGTTTGCTCTGGTGCACGGTGTGTGTTGGGGGTTGGGGGCTCCAGAGCGTGTTCCGGGAGATAAACAAGGAGTGGACCCCAAGACGCACCTTAATCACCTCAATGCTAATTTTCGCCCGCGAAGGGGCGCGTTGGCCTGCGGGGCTCCTCCCTCCTGCTGCCCACCACAGTTGTTGAACTGAAGCCGTTTGCTCTGCTGGGGCTGCTCCAGGAGGCTGGCCTCCCCTCTCGCTGCTAGAGGCTCTGGATGAGGGTCGTAGGCCCAGTGTCTGGAGAGGTGGCTGCAGGGTAGGCACCGAGGGGTATGCCCCTGAGGCTCCAGGTCACCTCCAGAGGCTGTGGGCAGGGTGGGTGGACCTGTCGCAGCCCGTGTTCCTGTCTCCCTGCAGAGCGACCCCGAGTTCGCGCAGTGGAAGAAGGAGCTGACCGAGACCTTCACCGAGGCCCAGCGGCTCCTGCGCCGCGCGCCCAAGTTCCTCAACAGGCCTCGGGCCAGCCTGGTGGAGCTCTCCAAGCCCCCGCTGTGCCACCGAAGCAGCAATGGCCTGTAGCGCGAGAGTGGGAGAGACGAGGGCCTCCGGGAGGCCACACCGGGCTCTCCACGTGGGGCGGAGCCTGGGGTCGGTGCGGACGTGCCAGGCTGTGGCGGAGGTGCCGGGCACTGGGACCTTTCATCCGCTGCCAGGAGGCCCCGGGCGGGCGCCAGATGCCCCCAAAGGGAGTTGGACCTCTCCAGGCGCGGCCGACCCTGCGCCACCAAGTGGTGCTGGCCCGCACTGGAGACTACTGAGGACACAAGCTCCTTTTCTTTGCTAGACACTTATTTTGGTACCTCCAAGCTGGAATTGAAACATCCCTACTCGGCACTTAATTTTTCAGTCTGATGTCAGACATCTCAGACTTCCCCAGGGGCCCTGGAGGTCCACAGTGCTGGGTGCCGGGTGCCCTGCGGTGGCCGGGCTCTGCTGTCGCAGATGCTGGCTCCAATGTCCCAGGGCCGGGGTAGGGGGCTGCGGAGCGCGTCCCTGCACACTGGAGAATCGGCGCCTGACGGGCAGGTGGGGGTGGCAAATGGGGTTCACTTGCCAGCCCCCCCCCCCAGAGTCCCTGGTGTTCCCAGGGAGAGTAGTGAGGTGACAGACTGGGGACCAGGGCAGCAGTGGGACACCTCTGGGCGCCCAGGTCACAAGCACCCTGGCTACAGCTGGCTTGGAGTCCACCCTGAGCCCCTGTAGAACACTGTGGTTCTGGAACCTTCTGCCTGACCCTGAGAAGCGGTCAGCCGTGATGTGTAGGAGGAGGAAGGGAATCTGGCTGCTTCACCTTGAGCCTAATTTGAGATGATTTTAATTTGAAAAACAAAAGCTGAGGAACAAATATGGGAGGTGGCCGTGTGGGGACTCTCTTGTCCCATGGTGGTGGGTCCCTCTGCACTGGCCTCTCTGGGGAGGGGCCCTCCGTCCAGCAGAAAGGACCCAGCGCCTCCTCCCCAGTGTTTCGTCCCCACCCCTCCATGCCTGTTGACGCCCCCATTAAATGCTGGGTGACAGAACCAGCAAAGTCCCCCAGGCCATCAGGCTAAAAAGTCCTTTCCAAAGTCTACACATTCATCCAGTTCCTGGTGTAGTTTTACTGTATGTCTTAAATTAATTACTAACAATATAAATAACTTGTCGTCTCGATCACTTGTATCCTGTCCTTGATATTTTTAGTGGTTCCAAACCTTTGATTTTACCTTTCTGTGCCACAGTCCCTGGGAAGGTCAGGGCTTCCTACCACGAGGTCATTTTGGGAGCGGAGTAGATCACCTTCTGGAAGGTCTGCTCTGCGCCTGGGTGACTGTGGGCCAGCAGTTTGGGGTTTTTATCCACCTGAGCTCCGGGCCGGGGGGTGGGGGGGGGTTTCAGGTAGCACAGGTGGCTGTCCGCTGCTGCCAGGGCGGAGGAGGGCGCCACACCCCCCACCGCCCTCCCTTGAGAGGGTAGAAGAGCCCTGGATTCTGTTTAAAATGCACACGTTCCACACTGCCCAAAGGGAGGCTCAGTGGTCGACCCGAGGGGGAGGGCGTCCTCCCAGCCCCGCTGGCTGCAGCTGGCCTGGATGCGGAGCTCCCGGGCCCAGCACCTCCTCCAGGCTAACGGGCCACCTCAGGAGGGGGCGCCCTGCCACTGTCAGGGCTGGGTTCATCTTGTACATGTCACACTGGGTGGCATCTACGCCACATGATGATGGTTTGACTTCCCCTTCTTGCTGTGAGACCTGCCAGTCTGCACCTCTTTCAAACACATGGTTTTGCTCTGGGTCTTTGCCTTTCAGAAAAGAAACGTGCTCTGGAAAGTACCCCAGAGCCCTTTGTGCCCCAGCACACCCTCACCCTCCCGGCTCCATGCGGTTTGTGTGGACACAGGACGTGCACCCAGGGGTCCCAGTCCTGAGCGAGCAGCTCCAGCCACTGTGAGCAGGTGGTGCAGGGTCCTGGAGCACTCCTCCTGAGGTCGCTGCTCTCCCCAGATCAGGCACCCCAGGGCGTGCCTCAGGACCTGCTGTCTTGGAAGTTTTCAGAGTGTAGATGAATTCCTAGATATTTGGTCCTTCCCACACTGGGACAAAAGTCAGCCCAGGTTTTCTCATTACTTTAGAAATTTAGATATCTATAGTTGCAATGTTTTGAACATTGTCAAGGAAAACAATCGAGGTTGCTATTATTTTTATAAAATTATGCTATAATAAGCCTCGATTTCACATTTCAAAAAAGAATCAGTAGCAAAGCCTAAAAATAACAGGTTGCTTTGAGCTGCTATGTAACACGTACAGAATAAATTAGAAACTTTTGCTAATCCAAGTTTATTCTTAACTTACAACATTCACGGGTACATGTGTCCCCTCACGTCCCTGTGGCTCACTATGTTTCCTTCTCGATTGTGTTTAAGGAAGATTTTTCAGCAAAACTTCTTGAAATTGGTTTCTGTTCCCCCATGAATGCAAAGCAGGCAGTCCCCTGTCGGTTCATCAACACTAGAGTTTCAAATTCTGTGCATTCAAAGAAGGGGCCAGGCAGGTGCTGTGCACACGCCTGTCATCCCAGCAGCTCAGGAGGCTGAGGCAGGAGGATTTCGAGTTCAAGGACAGCCTCAGCAATTTAGTGAGGGCCTAACAACTCAGCGAGACCCTGTCTCTAAATAAAAAAATACAAAGGGCTGGGGATGGGGCTCAGTGGTAAAGCTCCCCTGGGTTCAATCCCTGGTACCAAAAAAAAGAAGGGGGCCCAGGGCAGGATGAGGCTCTCCCAGGAAGGAAGCACCCGCCTCAGGCAGGCCACAAACAAGGCCTGTTGGCCAATTACCCAGAGTGAGCTTGGTGTGCAGTCTGACAGATGCCATGTGGCTGTTAGAAGCAATTGTGCTGAGGCCACCCGGCCATGAAACATGTTGTTGATCAGTAGCTGGCACTGCTACTAAAGAGCAAAGTGAGGTTCCCCCACCCCAATTTTTTCGTCTCAGAATCCGTAGCCGGGCCAGTTCAATACAACATTTGACACTTTTCAGTAGAGTTGATTTTTAAACTAATTATTTCAAAATGTTAACATGATTGGAAAGAAAACAAAATTCTCTGAGCGTGGGCCTTTTGCCATGATGTAAATCTACAAAAATGCTCTGAGACGTGGTGGTGTCCGTCAGCCTCGTAGGGTTTAACTCCTAGGAATTCTTGGCTCAGTCATGTTCAGGGAGCGTCTGTGTCCCTCCCAGACACAGGATGAATCCAGTCGTCGTTGGGGCCTGTGGCAGGAGGAGTTCTGTGGGAGGAGGCCACAGAGGGAGGTGGGCCACCAACACCACGGAGCACCAAGCGGGTGCCAGGTGGGTCCTCATACAGACCAAAGACGGTTACTTCGCTTCCAAGGCTGGAGCTGCTAACTGCAGCATGAGGCCACTTGCTGCCCAGCGGGACTTTCCGAGGACACCCACTTGCTGCCCTATGGCCCCAGACCCCGAGCAACACCAGACGTCTCTGTCACCCCAACATTCCATGTGTAGTTTGCAACCCTGGGCAGTGGGAACATGGTGTCCCCATCACCGAGATTGCATTGGTCAGTTGGGGACATCATTAGAGATCCAGTGACGTTCTGGTCAACCCGGGGAACGTTGGTGCCACACTCATTCCCCTATAAAGGGATCTTTAGTAGTTTAAATTTTCCTGGAGATGGAGCATGACTTCCCCTTCTCACGGAAGGCCCACTTGCAAGCGCCATTGCTTACATTCATGTTATGGTGAATTTCTTAATCCAGACCCCATATTTTTTTTTAAAAAAGATTTGCTTTAGAACGAGTGAAAGTGAGACTTTAAAACGGGACTCCCGGGTTCCCTCAGGTCATGATGCACTTCAGATTTTCTTTGTCCTCAAAGACCTCTTCTTTTACAGTGACAGGGACGTCCCTTCCTTTGGGATCATGCAGGCTCCAGAAGGAGGAGCTGTGTTCCTAACCCAGCTGTGGAATTGATAAAAGCTTTAACATTAAATTATTATTATTATTAATTATTACCAACAAACAGAAATCTACAGAAAGGGGTTAAAAGCATGTGCACCCATCAGGAATACACAGGGGGAAATCCTTCTTTTCCAAGGTAACTCAAGTTCATAGAGTAGAGCTGCCTCTCCACCATCCAACAGTCTCAAGGTCATCTCTGAAAACTGTCAACTCCGCCTCCATCTGTTTTGTTTGTTTGGGTACCAGGGATTGAACTCAGGGGCCCTCGACCTCTGAGGCACAACCCAAGCACAATTTTGTATTTTATTTAGAGACAGGGCCTCACTGAGTTGCTTAGCACCTTGCTTTTGCTGAGGCTGGCTCAAGATCCTCCTGCCTCAGCCTCCTGAGCTGCTGGGATGACAGGCGTGGGCCACTGCGCCAGGCTGCCTCCATCTTTAATTTTGACCTAAATATAAAGGACAAAATTGACATCAGGGTAAAGAATAGCAAAATACTTCCAGTTGTGTATTCACAGGACAAAGGACCTGAGATTTCATTTCTCGTCTCTTCACTCACTATGTTCTATGGTGTGTCTATTATGTGGTTTATAACTAAACACGGGGCATTTTTTAGTTGTATTGTTAAATTGTATTTTTCTATGTTTTAGGTGATCATAATCGGTTCAGCTTCTACTGGGTCAACAGTTCACTGAACTCCAAATATATATGAAACAAGAGTTCTATTGTAGCACAAAAGCATTTTATGTTATTTATTGAATCTACTAGTTTGTGTTCGTCAAAAACATTCCATATCACTTCTTCCCTTTTTATCTGTATAGTTTGCTATTTAAAGAAATGGTGGTCTTTTCTGTTTTAATAAAAATCAAACCCATGCAAATAGCACCCTGGGTGGGCATCTCTTCAGAAGGTGTCTGCGTGCTCTTCTGGACTGACTGGTCCTACCATCAAGAACTGCAGCAGGAACAGGCATTGTCGAGGGCCCTGGTGAGCTGGGGTCCACCCTCCTTCCCCAGGGTGATCCTGCAGGAGCCGAGGCGTGACCTTGGCCTTCCTTCCCCAGGCTGCCCCTCACCCCACTCAGCCCTGACCTTGCCTGGGCATCAGGTTCTGCACCTGGGAGGCCAACTTCCATGGACAGTTCTTCGCTCTTTTAGATACGCGGCAAGTTGTGTTTTAAAAACTGTTTTTTGGGGAGGCGGATCTGAATGGGACTTATTCCCTCCTCATCGTTCAGAACAAGGTGGAAAACAGGATCGTAAAAGCAAATGTCCCCTTGTAGGATTAAAAGTTTGCAGGAGCCGGACATGGTGACACACGCTTGTCATCCTAGTGGCTCAGGAGGCTGAGGCAGGAGGTTCACGAGTTCAAGGCCAGCCTTAGCAATTTAGCAAGGCCCTTAACAACTCAGTGAGACCCTGTCTCTAGATAAAATACAGAAAGGGGCTCAATGGTTAGGCACCTCTGGGTTCAATCCCCAGTATTTTTTTTTTTAAAAAAAGATGAGCCAGGCACAGGGGCACACACCTGTAATCCCAGCAGCTGGAGGCTGAGACAGGAGGATTTCGAGTTCAAAGCCAGCCTCAGCAATTTAGCAGGGACCTAAGCAATTCGACGAGACACTGTCTCTAAATAAAATGTGGAAAAAAGGCTGGGGATGTGGCTCAGTGGTTCAGCACCCTGGGTTCAATCCCTGCCGCAGTCTGACTGGGCACAAATCACGAGCCACTGAAGCAGGAACAAACTTTATTTTTGAACTCCACCAGCAACTCCTCCCGAACCCATGCGGCTCAAGCAGGAACCAGCCACCGGAAATCCCTCCTCCTGCACTTCTCCAACCAATGGGAACTCTTGGGGAATCCCCACGAGAACTCCAAAGTAGCGGGAGAACTCAAAAGTAGCAGCCAAGGTGGATAGTAATGCCTCGCCTGTCAATCAATACTGTTGGCAAAATGCCAGGGGCCATACAGACTCGGCCATGGCTCTCAGCAAAAAGAAAAAAAAAAAAAAACAAAACAGGATCTATGTGAAACAGAGTGAAGCACTGTCCCCATGAGAAAGGGTTCCTCCTTGTCTTTGGATGCTTCCCTCTGCCTGTGTTTGTGACCCCGCGGCCATCGACCTAGTGACAGGTTGTCTGTGCTCTTGCCCTTGGACAAATGAGTCTGTTTCCTATTGCCCTTGGCTACACCAAGTG